GGGCTATTCACCAGTGAACAGGAGATCACAGGTTTATGGTGAAGTTGCAAAGTGCCCAAATATTGATGTTCTAACGAAGAATTTGGAGACAAAGACAAATTCTGCAATGGCATAGTGCACAGGAAATGTTGAATTTGCATGGCTTTCTAATAGTCCAGAGGGGGAGAAAGCATATGCTAAATTTTTGAAATTATCCACCAATGGCCATTGGATAAAAAGAAAGCCTTAAACTTTGGATCCGTTCACCGAGAAATAAAACCCTGGGCCCCAAAAACTGGGGACAAATATATTAGGCATAAGGGAAGAATTTCCAAGACAGCCCACCTTAGTCAAGACCAGTAAAGTAGTACCAATCATGGATGTGACTATTTCCTGTGGTAAAGCTACGCTCTGTCATGGAAGGGTTTGCAATGGGAGAGGTGGCATATCTTGCTCCAGACCAACCCAACCCTTTTCAGCAACGTGTTTGATCAAGGGACAAAATAACAACTGTCTTTGTGCATAGCAGACAAATTAAATTGCATTAAATGAAATAAGGAGCTTTATTGGCTGCTGTGGGAGCAAAGTAGAGAGGTCTTACTCTATGCATCATGGACCTTGTTTAAAATGTATTTGATGTTTCTGACAGTCAGTGATTCCCCCAGAGCAACCATACGGGGATATTCTGACTGGGTCAACATAAGCTGACTGTCTCCAGTTTTTCCTTCAGACACTGTCATAAATGAGGCACATTGTTGTGCTGTTATGATTAGACTGTAATTACAGTTATCAAAGACTAAGTGTGCATCTCTGGCAGCTGGTGCTACCATAGACACAAACATTTGCGTCGTCTGTGGGGGAGGGGCAATGTAGGAAATGCTGCCAGCTCTGCTTATTTCAGGAGAAACTTGATCAGGACAGGTTTTTAGTACTTGTCTTATTGATTATCCCTCTGAGATCAGTTGTTGTGTGCTTGTCCCCATAGACATGCCCCCCCCCCCCCCCAAAATGACTAGATTGGGTAAATGTCATCTCATGTTTACAGACATTTTAGCATTGGAAAAAAGAATATGTACATTTTTATTAGAGAATGTTTAGCTCTTGTCACTTTGTGTGAAGGGTACTGTAGCACATTGTTCCTTTGCATCCAGTCAGTTAACATAAACATCTTATTAAGAGTTTGAATGCTTATTAACAGCATTCTCTCTGCAACAAATTAGGTCAGTATAATTCTGTTGACTAATTAGAATCTCATATCTTTTAATAAGGAAAGGGTTAATAGAAGCACACATCAGACCTTCTCTTGTGCACAATGGAAGCATAAAGGATGTGCGGGGGTTAATTTTTTTACTTTGGATTATGTTGGTTTAATAATGCTTCACAGGCAGTGTTCACAAACCAAGCCACATGCAGTGAAGACACTAATTACAAGTTCAAACCAAAGCTATACATTCTCCACAAATGAAAATGTATGGAAAATGTATTCTTTCCCCATCCCCTTCTCATTCAATGAAAGCAGTGTATAAAAGGAAAATTAGAGACAGCGTGATAAAGGCTTAATTTGTTTTGCTTCTCCTTTGAAATTGCCCGCATCTTCAGAAATAAATGTGATTTGTTATTGTGCAAAACAGAATTGTTTTTTACTCCTCTTTTCCCAGATATCTTTTGCTGTACAAGTACCACAGATGGAATGCACAAGCTACAATTTTAAATAAGTGCTCTAGAGCTGCATGGCTGGAAGTTCCATCAGAAAAGTTTTATCCTTCATGGTCCCTGGAACTTTCTTAAAATTGATTGTGTCATATTTCATTGGAATAAAGCCTAAATGCCTGTGTAAATATAGATTGCAGCTTGCATAACTGTTCTTTCAATGGTCAACAGTTTGAAATTCTTCGGTGCTTTTAGAAATATATTGCCATGTACTAAAGTATGGATACTGTAAGCAGTCACTGATTAAAAATACACAATATAGCTTTAATCTGTCAGCATTGCATGAGTGGCCAGATGTATATGAACAGCTGAAACAATAAAAATGACAGTATCTGAGCTCTGTGACAGCTTTCTTTGTTTAGCACAGACTAAGCTGGAGACTATTCTGTTCACTGCCAAGTCTGAGAATCCAGGATTTTATTTTGTGTGACCTCCCTCTCAGTACCATATTAACTGTAGAGAGAAAATGGTGATAGGGCTAGAAGCTTTGTACTATTTAATATCCTTGCATCAATTGTGAATGGTGAAAGTTGAGAAATCACACTTGTGTGAATTGAATAAGATCTGTTGCTAATTCTGTTTAGGGAAACTTCACTAGAATCTAAAAAAATCTACGTATCTGTGCCAAATACAATTGGCCCACTGTGTTGACAATAAACATCCCCACCAGTCAAATGCAGACCGCTTTCTAATGCAGGCTAGAAGGAAGATGCAATGGAAAGATATGCAGCACAGAAGCATGCATGTGAATATTATTCACATGTACCACTATGCGAAGGGCCAGCCTGAAACTCATGCTTCAGTTTCAGGTAAATGCTGGGTAAATCATTGAATGTCCCATATCAGATTTCAGTAGTGAGACTTTCAGTGTTTAGTGCTATGAGGTCTCTCATCCTTTTGCAAAATGTGTCGTTTTGTTGCATTACTTGTTAGATCAACAAAGATTTAAAAAATTCTCCCAAGATTCCTTTGTAATGGCTAAAACCTAAGCTGAAGAAGAAAGAGGAAATTATTTCAGCCTACCAGCATGTCCCTCAAACTAGTTCTTTGGTTGGGCTGATCTTTAATGCCAGTTTTTCCACATAGAATTGGCCCTTAACTATAATGCCGGTGTTACATGGACTCACTGTATAAAAATTGCATCTACCACTGAGCTAAACATCCCCCATATCACACCCAGCAAACAGTGACAGCATGCAAACATGCCCCGTGTCCTGCTCTTTACTACTTACTACACAGCCCTACTCTGAGCACACTGGGCTGTCTCTATACACCAACATAGAGATATTCTTAATACCTCCAGTATTTATCTACTAACTACCTCCAATACCTCCTTTCTTTATCTACTAACTGTCAGTAATTCTTTTTGAAGTTGTAGCAGCCATAGCAACACATTCGGATGATGGAGTAAATTAGAACTACCTGAATCTGTCACGTGTCAGCACTCTTACTGGAAACCGATACCGCCAGAAAAGTGTCACAAAATGCTTTACTGAATTTCCCCGAGTCTTTGTTGTAGTCTTTGAAGATATTTGAGAATTAATTTCTTCACAGTGCAGGCAGCTAGATCGATCATGGATGGCTTGTTTAAAGCTCTTTTATTGCTTGTTAAAATATGTAATTATTGTTCCTACTTTGGACACTGGCACACTTTTAATGCCTAGCTGGATTACATGAATTTTATGATATCTGCCTTGGGCCACTTTCCAATTACAGAGTTTAAAACTGAAATGATCTTTAATGAGTTAGTTAAAGGTCTTACTTCTGTGTACCACAAATCATTAAGACTGTTATGTGTTTCCTTTCCCATGTAGTTTAATAGCTTTATGCTATGCTCTTAAATATTGTCTCCTGCTGATCATTTGTTCACTCACAGGGAGTTGAATGAACAAACACAAGCAGCTAAATGATGGCCTGAACTAATGTCACAGACATCTTACATTCTTTCCACAGCCAGCCACAGGAAGAAACCTGGGAGAAAGTTCCATAGGTCAAATATTTCTCTGCTGGTTAAGAAGGGTATGTTCAAAGGGTATGTTCAAAGGACAAGTCCTTACGAGGCTGGATGCACTTTTCTATCAGATCTGTGAATTGTGTGGGAAAAATCTCATGACCCACAACAGAGATACATTGGTTCCCATGTGTTTCATAAATACTACAGATGTTTAGTGTAAAAAACATATGTACAGTAGATATACGGTTTCATTTAGATCTGTTAAATGGGTTATGATGGTTCAGAGGAAGGACTCTCTCCTATGATAATCTGAAGGTGTTTGGTACTGTACATTTGTTTATAGTATGGTTTGCCGTGTTCTAATAATAGGAAACGTTTCAAGTGTTTTGATAGACCAGAAGTGTTTTGGTTTTTTTGGACCAGAAAGAAATAGTCTTTATGGGCATCTTAATTTAAAGAACACTGCACTGCTGCCACCAAGGAATTGCATCCACACCCCTCCTTGCTTCCAATTCACAAGCTTTGCTTAGCTCGACATCAATACAAACGCACAGGGTGCATGACTACTCAGGAAGTTTCATTGCCAAAAACACCACTGTACGGTATTATTTTAATGAAGTGTTCCATGCTCTACTGCAGTACATAGACTTTTTTGCGTTTTTACCTATAATCTAAATTCAAAGTACATTTAAATATAACAAATAGTTGTTTTCTATGTAACCTACATTTTAGGTACAGTTGACTAACTTTACTGTTTTATTTTTTTGCAGCTTGATATTCAATATGTTTTATACTCTCTAGTACCAGAAAGTTAAATGCTATATGCTTATGGACACACGTTAAACATCTTTTGACATTCATTTTACATGCCTTTTATTTTTCATTGACTGTGTGACTGCCCATGAAATGATTGTAAAGGAAAGTCAACAATGGACAAATTCTTTCAAATGGCTATAAGAACAATAACACTATAGGTGCATTAGCAGTGTTTTCATTGCACTTTTTATATGGGTTTGTCATTTACAAGCTACATTCTACTGTGTATATGTCAGATAAAAACTCCTATAATGTTGTTGGCATAGAAGCGTGAAGAAATTATGAATACCTTAGGTGAACATTTTAGGATAACCAATTTGATTCTACTACTTTATATTGGGAGAAAAGTGAACTCTGTACGACTTTTGCAGGGTGTCGCCATTAATTGAAATGAAAGTCATTTAAAAGAATGGTTGCCAGAGTACTTTTATATAATTTAGAAGTTAAATCTTTTGCCTCCTTGCTATACTTTATTTTACAACAGGAAGTTGTTTTTTTTCGTAATGTGTTTGTGTTTAATTCATTTTACACTGTTTCTCAGGTAACAGAAGCAAAGCAGAAGGAAAGGAGCCTAGAGCAAAATGCGGAAAAAGCAAGAGTTGGCCGCCAAGATACAGTAAGTAAAACACATGTTTCTGTATTAATCCTGAGGGGGAGTTAAAAGTACAGCTACAGACAAAAAAACAAAAAATTGAAGAACTAACAAAAAATTATTTTACCTTCCTTGACTGAGTCAGATCCTCCTTCATTTGTGTCTCTCATGTGCCCCTTGTCAGGCACTGCAGCCCACAATGGGAGGGTTTCAGCAACATATGCATTACTAATAATCTAGAAAGCAATGGTCAGGACTAGGTGTTGTTGTTGATAGACAAGCTCCAGGCTTGTGAATCCACAATGACAATGCCGATAGCCACGCCACCTGCAAAATTTTTTCCTGCCTGTGTAATACAAGCAGGCGCAGCCTACATAAGAGTGTCAACTCTGTTCTGAATTCAGGAGCAATGCAATATCATTGCCACAGCTGTAGTAGGTGGACTTCACTGACAGGATCAATGGGCAGTTATGTGACTTTGAAGGGGTACTAGGAGAAAACTGTAAATGCAGATACACTTACAATTAAGTGCTGCAGAACAATTTTTTTAATTGAGAGAGCTTTAATACTAATTTGTTGATTATATATTTAGACGTGCTTTTGAGGAGTTTATCTTTGGAAAAATTATTCAGTGCAGTACAATTCTGATGTAGTAACTAGTAGTAATTGCTCATTTTCATCTGGACAAATGAAAATCTTCACAGACAAATATTTATATGCTGTAATGTCTTCTGCTGTAGAATGAAAGATCAAAGCTGGCAGAGGAATTGGCACTGTTGAGACAGCAGCGGGACCAGCTAAAAGCAGAACTAGAGCAATACAAAGAATGTGATCCGGATGTTATAGACGATATACGTAAGTTGTTTTTTTTTTTTTTTTTCCTCTAACTTCTTAAAGCAGGATTTCTTCCTTTAGCATTGCATAGTTGTACAGGCTTCTGTCCTGTACTGAAATTGCTTACTCTGATTTCACTGCACACTGTGAGCTTCTCACAGTGTGCAGTGGAAGCTGCGGCAAGTCATAAGGGCCGGTGTGAATTGTAGTGATAGTTCCTCCTGCAGCTTTCAGCAGATAGGTGCGGCTGTTGGCCTTGTCCACTATGACAGTTTGCCGGCAGCTGCAGCTATTCGTGGCTCTCTACACAGCCAGCGATTACCTGCGGTAATCACTGTTGGATGCACTTTGCATCCAGCTGTGATCATCACAGGTAATTTTTGACTGTGCGGAGAGCTGAGAATAGGTGTAGCCGCCTGCAACCTGTCATAATGAATGGGCCTGGGGGCCAGCACCTACCCACTGAGAGCTTCAGGAGGAACTGCTCATCAGCTCTCGTTTTTTTTTAAATCTGTTTTATTGATACATTTGTTAGACAGACAAGAACATAACAGCATAAACATCAAGGTAAGGGCCCACGCTGCAAGAAAATAATACATTTTTATACCGACACAGAGAAAGGCAGGGCCCTACCTGTAACATTTGAGGTGTGGCTCGCAACAGTATACACAGAACATGACAGTCATAATAAAAGAATGAATGCATGTAAGAATGCATTAGAGGGGTGTCCCCACATCATGAAAATCTTATACAGGTAATACATGTGCATTTGGACTTCACTGATCCTTTGAGGGCAGCAAGGAGTGCATATTCCAGGACATCTAAGATGTGGTTATAGCCTATGTTTAGTCCATTCCCAAGAGCAGAAGTATGTGGATTTGCTGTTTTCACAGGTAATACATGACATGAAATCTTAACACCCCGTTCACATTGCGCGCGACTTGACATGCGATTTGCATGCTATGCGACTTGCAAATCGTATGCCAAGTTGCACCGTATTGTCCGCAATTACTGCAGTCAAATCGGTGCGGTCCCGACTTGGTCGGAGCCGCACAGATTTCTAAAGTAGTACATGTACTACTTTTGGTGCAATTTGCATAGACATCTGTGTCAGATGCCTTGCAAATTCGCACCTGAAATCGGCATCTCACCCGACTTTGAAATCGTGCGACTTCACTGTAACTCGCACAATCTCAAAGTCGGGCTTGATGTGACAGGGAGTAAGTCACAGACATTACTGAAGCTGTTGTGGGCTCAGCCAACCAGGTGGAGCATACCTTGGCTTTTTTTTTTTTTTTAAAGGCACTTCTATTAATGTAAGTATGCTTATATAGTGGTAAGTTGTTTTATTAACCAGTTGTTTCCAGAAATCAGTAGTGGGAAGAGCAGACTTCTTCCAATGCATCATGATGGCCTTTGTAGCATAAAAGAGCAATAAACTAACTAGTGTTTTCTTGGCCACTGGGAATTATGTTTTCCACCAGACCCAGCAAGCAGATGGCCATAGTGGGTCTCATGGAGATGGATGCAACAGTTTCAACTATATCCAGTACCTCTCTCCTGAAACCAATGACTGCAGGACAGGACCAGAAAATGTGTGAAAAATTCCCAGGAGAGCGGTTACATCTCCAACATTCCTGCAAATGCGAGGAACTCATGTTGTGGAGCATATAAGGAGTGTAGTAAGCTCTGTGAACAATTTTGAATTGGAAAAGCCAGTCTCTCAAGGAGACCAAAGCGCGGAAAGGAAAATCCCAGATATCCTCCCAGTCATCATTATCCTGGTCCGGTATATCTCGCAGCCATCAGCCTCGAAGTCCCTCCAAAGCAGGCAGGGACAGAGAGAGAGAAGGTGAGCATTTAAATGAAAGGTAGGTTTCCCAATACAATCATTTCTGAGCAATTTCTCAAAGACTGACACTTGAGGGAATTGGCTACGGATAGCATGGGAGAGCTGCATGTAGCAGAAAAGTAGGTAGATGGAACATTGTATTCCAAGGAAAGTTGTGAAAAGGAAACTAGGGAACCACACTGCACTATTTGGCTCAGACACCTGGGTCAGGAATCATAAGTAGGGTAGAGTGGGATTAAGCCAGAGGGGGGTATTCAGAGAGATGGCAAGGTTTGGAAAATGCTCTGATAGTGGTAATCATAGAGAGCGTTAAAGGACAAGTTCACCTTTTGAAACATGTTACATGTTCCACCCGTTTTTAGGGTGGAACATGTAACATGTTCCTGAAGCCGCAGCCACGCCAGCCGCCGCCCCCCCCCCTCCCTCTGACAGATAGTACAAGGAAACTTCTCCCCATACGATTTGTCAGATTTGAAGACAACGCGGCTCTGCCTACATGGCCTTGTCACTCATTCACAGTGTTCTGTGAATGAGTGCCTACAAGTCCCGACAGCCTGAGCGGCTGTGGGCTTGTAGTTTTCAGTGACCTACCACGGCACTGTTGAGTGCCATGGTAGTTCTTTGAAGCTTCCTCTCAGTATATCTGCTTTTTTTTCTACATCCCGTACGGCAAACAAATATTGTGGTAGGTTTGCAGGAGAACTGCATGGCATCAGCAATCTACTGATCGCTGGTGCAATGCTTTACAGGCTCCTTTGGACAAAAATAATAAATGCACATTTTTTTACCTGCAAAAAAATGTGCATTTATTATTTTTGTCCAAAAGGTGAACTTATCCTTTAAGGGATAGGGAGCCCTGGGGCCCCTAAACAATAGGAACTGGAGGGCCTCTATGGAGTTCACCAACGAGGCCTCCAACAAACTGTAGGTAACAAACCTATCTGGATTTTTTCTACCATGCTGCTGTAACTAGCCACATGGCCAATTATTTGTAAAAATCTGGGGGAGAGCCAATTCCCCCTTAGGATGCTGGGCGTATGAGGGTGGACAGCTTGTATCTAGGAGGTTTAGAGCCCCACAAAAAAGGATTAAGGTATCCATTGGGGGTAATTGCGAAATAAGTATATGAATTTAGGAAGTACTATCATTTTAATAAGGTTTATACGACCCAATAAGGATAAAGGCAGGATTTCCCACGCTTTCAGTTTTAGCTTAACCTCTCACAACACTGAAGCCAGGTTAAGGGGAAGAAAGTCAGCATCCTGATAGGATACAATCACCCCTAAATATATGAATTGATGAACCCATTGTAGTGTTTTTGGGGAGGCCAAGGTACAAGCTTCAGAATCTATTGGAAAAAGGAGGTTTTTACTCCAGTTAACCTTAAGCCCCATAACCACAGATTATGAGTTCAAAACATGGAGGGCCCCCTGCAGTGATGGGCCGGTGTCATTAAGAAAAAACAGCATATCATCTGTATGTAGGGCCACCCTCTCCTCCAGCCAGCCAATCTGAAGAGCTTTAATGTGGGAGGATGTACGAAGAGCCTCTGCAACCGCCTCAATCGCTATAAAAAAGAGGGCAGTACTGCCGAATGCCTCTCTGTAGTTCAAAGAGAGCCGACAAACCCCTCCCAGCCAAACCGCTGATGTGGGATTTTTGTAAATACCTTCAACCAATCAATAAAAACCATCAGGAATCCCATTCACCCAAGAACCTCCCACAGAAAAGACCACTCAACGGTATTAAAGGCCTTCTCTATATCCAGATTGGCCACCATCCTGGAACCCACATTGAAATGCTGAGCATGTAAGTGGCTGTAAAGTATACGTACAGTGCTCAGCATAAATGAGTACACCCCGACAGATTTGTCAGAAAACCTTTACTTTCCTTTCAGAATCAAAATTTTCTACAGGACACTGTACTACAAAATATACTCCCACAAATGTGGGCCATTGATTGCAAGCAAGATTTGTTAATTTGCAAACACAAAAGTATTTTTCCCAACAAATTCTTACAAGATTGTCTTGCAAAAATTAATACACCCCAATGAAAGTCTTAGGAGCAAAGCTAAATTTTAGATGACAAAATACTAATTAACAAGAATTCAACTACAGGTGAGTCTAATTATTCATTACAGAGGTGTCCAGCAGACAGTTGATTATAAAAGGACATTACTTAACAAAACCCCTTCCCATTTCATGCTGTCAGCAATGGCACCACATGGAAGAGAAATGTCACAAGGCCTAAGAAAGAAAATCATCTTTACACAAGAAAGGTGAAGGCTACAAGAAGATCAGCAAAGCTTTACTTTTCAGTCAGAATACTGTAGCAAAAGTGATACAAAAATATAACAAAGATGGAACTGCAACCATCTCACAGAGATCTCCAGGCTGTCCACAGAAGTTTACAACTTGACAGGCGGTTTTCTGATGAGAAGGGTTGAAGAAATTTGTCATGCAAGCTCACTGCAGTTAGCTAAAGTAGAAAACCAGACTGGGGTGATTGTTTCCCGTGACACAGAGGAATGACATGCATGGGTGTCATCCACAAAGGAAGCCTCTCCTATAGCCCATGTACAAAAAGCCCACCTAGAATTTGCCAGGGCCCATACTGAAAAAAAAAACTACTGGGACTCTGTATTCTGGAGTGATGAGACCAAGATAAATGTTTTTGGAACTGATGGCTTCAAAACTGTATGGCGTCGCAAAGGTGAGGAGTACAAAGAAAAAATGCATAGTGCTTACAGTGAAACGTGGGTGGCAGTGTCCTTCTGTGGGACTGCATGAGTGCTGCTGGCATCAGGGAACTGCATTTCATTGATAGTATCATGAATTCACAGATGTACTGCTCTATATTGAAAGAGAAGATGATACCATCACTACGTGCCTTTGGTCGTCATGCACTTTTCCAACATGACAATGATCCAAAACACACCTCTAAGGCCACTGCTGGATTTCTGAAGAAGAACAAGGTGAAAGTGATTCAGTGGCCAAGTATTTTCTCCTGGTCTGAACCCAATCGAACACCTATAGAGCATTCCGGAGAGACAGGTTGAGCATCATTCTCCATCCAGCATTTCCTGTAATGAGCTAAACAAATGTTCTATAAAACTCAGTTTTGTCAAAATTTTGGAAATTGTTCTTTTCTTCATTGCGATATTGATTAACCACTTGCCCTTCAGAGGATTTATTCCCTTTC